TATCCTGAGTGAGAGAAGGGGCACTGCATGCAGTTTGCGTTGGGACAAGACCATGAGAAGGATTGCGATGGGATGTCCAGGCAATGCCGCCGGGAGATAGATGCTCAGTAGTGTGGAACCGTCATCATACTAGTACTTCTGTTCAGTTGAGGGAGAGTTGGAATTCCTGTTTCACGACGCCGCCTGTGTGGCTCGACACCCTACGGACAAAGAAATCTTTCTCGTAAACATTTAATGCGCAACAGCAGAATTTCACCACAATAACTCTTTTGCAGTTAGGTATTCCACAGCGCTTTAGTAGGAATTGTTTATAGAAGCTACGGTATCTTGACGTTAGACATATTATACAGATGCAAGGCCGTCGCAAGCGGGAGGAGTAAAAGCGCAGTTGCTCCCAGGCGTTGGCAATGGCAACGGCGAACTGCCCACGATCAACTGTCCAGAACACAAACCGGGCGTTCATTACCTTTTCTGGCAACATGAGTTAGCTACGCCCCTGAGATGTTTATGCTGGCTCTCACCTTCATTGCTCTGCCTCTCGACGATTCATATGCACGCGAGTTTCCTCCATGCCCCTCTACTCCTGGTGACCACCACGCGTATTATTCGTGACGCCTGGGTAGCTAAACATATTAAATTGATAGTAGCATCGTAAAAATCCCTTTAGGAAGCATCCGGCATATATATATATATATACGTGCCATGGCGTATTTATTTGTTCTCACAACCCTCTGTACAATACTAACATATAGTAATAAATAATACTGTACATAATATTTAATAAATGATACTGCCATAAAATAAATTCTATATCTATATCTATATTCTAGATCAATCTATATTGCCGATAACATCTATGTGATATCAAGCGCTAATAATACATAGTGTTATTAGCTATTGGTGATATTGATAGCTATGAATTTAAGCTATGAATTACGTTGCATTCACTTATGCATGCTTCGGAACGTCTCTAGCAACATGATGCATGAATTTATCGAGTGTTTTAGCTAAGCCGCCATCTTTCGTGTAGCTCGTCTGTCCCACCGTGATACTGTCTCCATCCTACAACAGAACACACTCTCACGTAGACGCAACCGCCACCAACTGTCGTAGTCGCAAGTAAACATATCCTTCCTATCCCCCAACTACCCACGGCAAATCGTCTGTCATTATCACTCTTCGGAGTTTGATCAATCAATCAGCGAACGAATAAACCAACGAACCAACAAACAAACAAACTCATCAATTAATCAATCAATCAGATTGCTGATTTTAATTAACCTGACGATTTTTTGGGGTAGAAATATAGTCCTATCATCATTCCAAGTCCTCACCGAGGTTTCGTCGTCTTCGTCTATTTCTCCGCTGGCTTTGCGCTGAGTTATCATGCGTGACGCAACCAAGTCACTTTCCATATTTCTTAATTTCTGTTAAAAAGAGATAGAAACTCAATCTATGCGTCAATAAAACACGATATTTACATGCAGCTTTCTACTATACGGTTATGAATTATTATTATTATTAATAATAATATTATTAATAATATTATTATTATTACTTTTTATAGCTATGCCCCGCGCAACATACACGGCCTAGTGTTAATGCACATCTTTCCCTACTTACTTCTAACTATCCCTACCTCCTCTGCCAAATTCAGCGTCTCCCTCTAACCACACTGCACCCCGAACATTGGCCTTACCTTAGACGTTCCAATCCGAGGCTCCATATACAAATCAGGTCTGTATTGCGGTTTGAACTTCAGCCTCTCGAGAGCGAGAAAGACCTGTGCCTCGATAGGTTTCAGGTACCAAATAATACTCGAGGCCTCGTCGCCGACAAGCCCCAGCTCAGAGTCACCCATCGTGTTAGCATCCTTCACACAACATGGGTAAGATTAGAAGATTCACGATGACAGCCAGAGGTTGTTAGAATAGTTTATATCTATATATACATATATATATATATATATATATATATATATAGTAGTANGTGGTTGGAAATATAGTCCTATTATCATTCCAAGCCCTCACCGAGGTTTCGTCGTCTTCGTCTATTTCTCCGCTGGCTTTGCGTTGAGTTAACATGCGTGACGCAACCAAGTCACTTTCCATATTTCTTAATTTCTGTTAAAAAGAGATCTTTAGAACTCAATCTATGCGTCAATAAAACACGATATTTACATGCAGCTTTCTACTATACGGTTATGAATTATTATTATTATTAATAATAATATTATTATTATTACTTTTTATAGCTATGCCCCGCGCAACATACACGGCCTAGTGTTAATGCACATCTTTCCCTACTTACTTCTAACTATCCCTACATCGTCTGCCAAATTCAGCGTCTCCCTCTAACCTCTCTCCTCCTCCACACTGCACCCCGAACATTGGCCTTACCTTAGACGTTCCAATCCGAGGCTCCATATACAAATCAGGTCTGTATTGCGGTTTGAACTTCAGCCTCTCGAAAGCGAGAAAGACCTGTGCCTCGATAGGTTTCAGGTACCAAACAATAGTCGAGGCCTCGTCGCCGACAAGCCCCAGCTCAGAGTCACCTATCGTGTTAGCATCCTTCACACAACATGAGTAAGATTAGAAGATTCACGATGACAGCCTGAGGTTGTTAGAATAGTTTATATCTATATATATATATATCTATATATATCTATGTATATATATATATATATATATAATATATATAACCGTTTTCGATCGGAA